AAATGAATTCCTAGAACATATTGTTTACTATATTGAATGTAATTATAATAAAACATATTGTACTCAAAAATTTGAGAAATTAGATAAATAGTAATCTTAGCTTCTAAGAAATGTCACATTGTCATTTACATATCCAACTTATATATATAAAAGAGTTAAAAAAGAAAAAATAAGTGATTTAAGAAAATTATATAAATAACATTAATGATGAGATGAAGATTAAGAAAAAACGTCAAATAAATTCGTAGTATTGATGATGATAAAAGTTAAATAAATAATTTTTTCTATTATTTAAATTTTTAACATAAAATTTCCAATCTTTTAAAATTAAAAATAAATGTAAAAATAAAAATAAAAATCGACGCAATAATTATTTTAAAGAAAAATATAACCAAAATTATCAGAAAAAATTGATAAAAATAAATAAGTATCTATTACTAAGAATGGCGTCACTACATTTTTTATTTTAACTTTATTGTTACATATGGATAGAAACTTTTAGAAGAAGAAATGATCCAAAAATTTAAAAATAATGGTTCCTTAATTGGTGATTCCTTTTCCATTTACAACTTTTCAATTAATTTTTAATGTATTAAATATGGTTATGGATATTGGAATAATAATTTTATCTTTCCTTAATCATAATAAATTATATTTTAACCTTTATTTTTGTGAAATGATAATTTTCTTTTCATTCGTACAACATATTGATTAATATATTGAATGTAATTATAATAAAACATGTTGTATTTAGTATGACAAAAGAATTCAAATTTTTTAGAAATTAAATAAATAGTAATCCTTACTTCTAAGAAATGTCACAAAATAAAATAAAAATAAAATAATATATATATATATATATATATAAAAGAAAATGATATAAATTACATTAATGATGAAATGAAGATTAAGAAAAGAAGTAAAAGAAATTAATAATAATATTGATGATGATAGGAGTTAAATAAATCATTTTTTATATTTTGTAAATTTTCAATATAAATTTTTCAGTCTTTTAAAATTAGAAAATGCTAAAAAAATAAAACTAAAACTAAAAATCGAGGCAACAATTATTTTAAGGAAAAAATAACAAAAAATCTCAGAAACATTGATAAGAATAAATAAGTATCTATTGCTAAGAAGGTGTCACCCCACATTTTCTATTTTAGCTTTATTATTACATATAGATAGAAACTTTAAGATGAAGAATGATCCAAAAATTTTAAAAATAACAAATCAATTATGTAAAAATACATGTGTAATTCTTATAAAGTTATAATAACTAATTTCTTCAAATAAATAATTAAAAGAAAGAAAAAAAAAGTAATTAAGAAAATAATATAAATAACACTAATTATGAGATTAATAACATTGATGAGGAAAGGAACTAAATATGATCATCTTTTTAAATTATTTTTTAAGAAAATATATATAAACTTTAATTAAAGATAAATAAGGAAAAAAAACTTTAACTAAAGATACAAAATAAAAGAAGAAAGAAATTAGAAGAATAATGAGGTTGAAAGAAATAATATCTAATTTTCTCTCTTTTCAAATCACAAAATAAATATTTGCTTGTTCTCCTCCTAATTTGATACGAATTCCATAAATAGAATGATTTTTTCTCCAAATAATTTTTCTTACCCTTCGAAACACTAATCAACCTTCTTATAAATTTCTCAACCACAATGAATTTTCTCTCCTTGTAGGAGGAATAAACATTTTTTCAAAAAGTCTTTTATTTTGAAGAGAACTTTTTGTTACATGATCTCTTTCTTTACATCAATGTCTTCACAAGAATCATGAGATATTCTCTCTTTCTCTTGTGTTAAAAAAGTCACATGACCTAGAAATTTGATGGCATCTTAGCGACAGAAGTTGATACCATATATTCATCATCATCGTCAGAAGAAGAAGAGTCAAAGTGAAGAAATTTGTTCTTATTTGTTACAAATGCTCAGCTATTTATTTTATTTTATAGGCTAAATAATTATAAATAGTTATGAAAAATGAATAGTTTTTATCTTTTTATCTTCCATTTTCATTTACTTAAATCTATATTAGTGTAATGGATGTTATAAAGGACATAATTAATCGGGTATGACATAAATTCTTTTTTCTTAAAATACAAATAAAAAATACAAAATAAAGATAAAATGTCAAAAGAAGGAGAAAAAAGATGAATAGAAATACTGGCCATAGAGAGATGCCACATCAGATTGTCTATATTCAACTTTATATATACATATATAGGTTCATGCCCTTAGATGCTATTTTATTACTTTAGCTGACTTCGACATTTTTGTAAAAATCTGATATCTACTTTGGAACATTTTATAATGTGGCATAAGCTGACAATTGAGATCATAAATTTGAAAATAATAAAATTTAATTTATTATAATACTAATATCAATATCATAATTATATATATATATATATATATATATATATATAAATTAAAAAATATATAAAAAGTATTATAAATTGTAATAATTAACCGCTTTATTTTTTTAAAATCATAACTAATTTGATTTACACTCCAAAATTCATAGGTGTCACATAATTTAGACATTAATTCTTTATTACTTAATATATGTAATTATATCAATGACACATAAATTGAAATAAAAAATTACATATTTTATTTGAAAATCACGTAATAGTACTATAAGATATAATAATTAACAACTTAACATATTTTTAAATTTTAGTTGACTCTCCAAATTCCATATGTCTCATGTAATTGAGACAGAGAAAAACATATATTGGTTTAAAATAAATAAAAATATTATAAATTATAATAATTAACAACTTAAAATTTATAAAAAAAAATCCTTTAAAAAAAATTTAGTTGGCTCTCCAAATTCAATTGGTATTACAATAATTAAAACATAGAAATTAACATAGATTGGACTTGTGCTGACATTTATGTTTCGATTTTTAAAATTTTTTCTTTTATACTTTATATAAATAAATTTTTTATGTAAAAAGTATTATAAATCATAATAATTAATAGCTTAAAATATTTGAAAACATATAAAAAGTTTTTGTTAACTTTCAAAAGTTCATCTATACCACATAAATTGGGAGAAATATAGATATATAGATATTTTAAGTTGCTAATTATTGTGAGTTATAGTACGTTTTATGTAATTTTCATATATATTACTCGTTTTGTCCTGATTTATGTGATACAAATGAAATTTCAAAAGTCAATGAATTTTTTATAAGTTTTTTTATATTAACTTGTTAATTATTGTGATTTATAATATATTTACATAAAACATACTCTAAATAAAAATAATTAGCAACTTAAAATATATAAAAAACATACTAAAAAATTGATTAACTTCAAATTTCATATGTACCATATAAATTGAAACAGAAACAGTAACATATATTGGGCCCCGTGCTGGCACGGGGTCCCATATCTAGTATATATATATATCAAACTTCCTTCCAAATTTCTAGATATACCTAAATTAACTTTCTTACAATATCCCATCCTCTAACTATTCCATGGCCAATTCCAATAACAACAACAATATTGAGGTTGTCGCTGAAATGGATGGTTTTGTATAGATCTATAAGGATGGTCAAGTCGAACGTTATTTATATGATTAATTTTTTTAATCAAATTTATACCACTAAATAGAGTGTGTAGCAATTTTTTATTAAAAGATAAAATAACCTCATGGACAAGTACAAGCGGAGGGGGCGGCTAAGACTATTATATTAATAGTTTGATTCTGGTGTGTCCTTACTTTTTGATCCCACTTGAGAACATTGAACAAGGTGTATCGTACAAGGATTGAATTATTATTAGCTCACCATCAAAAGTTGGGCTCCATAGTTCAATGATTAATCCACTTGCTGAGAAGGCTCCCTGTTTGTCTCAGTTGGGTTGTTCTAGGATGTTACTATGTTTTGCGGAGAATGATGACTATATTCCAAAAGAAATTTGGATTCAATTCGTTGAAGGTGTAAAGAAAAGTGGTTGGAAAGGGGATTTGAAGTTGAAGGTGAAGGTCATTGCTTTCAGCTAGTCCTGAAATTGAGAAATCACAAAATTTGATCAAGCGTTTTGCTTCTTTTACCCAATATAATTAATAAGGGATCGTTTGGTTAGAAACAAGTTATTTTGGGTAATTATCTCGAGATAAGTTATTCCACCATGTATATGGTTTAACTTATTCCATTACTAAGACATAAATAGTGGGATAAATAATTCTAAGACTGCTCAATACTTTCAACTAAACGCGAAATAAAATAACTTTGCATTTTATTATGAAATTATTATACCTTAAACCTCATCATCAATCTCGAGCCAACCAATGACACCTTATCTAAAGATCGAAGAATGCTTGACCACCAAAGAACTTGGTCCCCATATTAGGTATGCATACAACAAGCAACTGTGCGCTGGACCAAAGTACCTGGAATATATATTTCCCAACTCCAAATTAAAAACATTATTTTCTACTTCAAAAATAAAAAAACTATCACTCCCTTTCGGATTTCGAAATTCAAACAAGTCTATCTTGGACTGTAAATTTTTCATATATTTTTTAATTATTGTGACTTATAGTACTTTTTACGTAATTTACAAATATACAAATTTCATTTCAAGAAAATTGAAGATTCCACACGCAAATTTTCAATTAAAATTAAATTGTTTAACTCTCAAAAAATAAAAAATAGTATCATATAAATTAGGATAGAGGAAATATCACTTTTTATTTTCACAAATAAAAAATGGTCAAACGCCTACCTAACATAGGTAAAAGTAAAAAAAAAAGGAAGGCAAGTGTTGAAAAATGATGCGTAAAAATAACTCCACAAATTTCTAGAGATAACACCATATCTTTATTTATTTGTTAATAATAAGAACATGATCTAGATTTCTATCTACATTTCCACCAATCTTCAAAATATCTATCGAGAATAATCCTATATACATACCACAACAGTACCATTCACATAATTTCTCTCTACCACGGCCTCCGATGATAATGATCAAGTAGTTCAGGAAGTGGAAAACTTCTACCGGCTCTACAAAAGCGGCCGCGTTGAGCGTTTCTATGACGTGCACGGCTTATTCTACGTTCCACCATCACCACAACACCCATCAAATGGCGTATTTTCTAAAGACGTTACTATCTCACCCCACGTCTCTGTTAGACTCTATCTTCCGGAGAACATTCCTAATTCCCAAAAAATCCCCGTGTTAGTATATTTCCACGGGGGCGGACTTGTCATAGACTCCGCCTTCTTCAATTTGCATCACAATTACGTCAATTCTTTAGCTTCTGAGTTGAAAATGGTTGCGGTTTCTGTAGATTACCGGTTAGCCCCAGAAGTAGATGTGCCTACAATTTACGAAGATTGTTGGACTGCACTTCAATGGGTCGCTTCACATGCTAATGAAAATTCGTACAATAAAGACTCATGGTTAACAAATTTTTGTGATTATGGTAAAGTGTTTATAGCCGGAGATAGTGCTGGTGGCAATTTAGTGTACCACATGACTATGAGGGCAGGCAAAGAAAACTTGAATAATGATTTGAAAATTACTGGATCGATTTTTGCTTATCCTTATTTTTTTTTCCCAAATGTTGAAATTGATGAAGAGGGTTTGGCTAATAAGGTTTGGGGATATATTTGTCCACCATTAGAGTGTGGGCTACTATCCCCAAGGGATAGTCCATTAATTAATCCGCTTTCTAAAAAGGCCCCATCTTTATCGGGGCTAGGTTGTTCGAGGATTTTGGTGTGTATGGGAAAAGAAGATGATTTAATTCCTTTAGGAATTGGGGTTCGATTTGTTGAAGGTGTGAAGGAGAGCGGATGGGATGGAGAAGTGGTGTATCTTGAGTTTGATGATGGACATGCCTTTCAGATGTATAAACCTGAATGTGATGAAGCTAAACGTATGATGAAGTGTTATGCTGATTTCATCCATCGCTAGTGCGTGGTAACAATGAAATAACATACTACTTTTTTTCAGAGTAATTGTATTGGTATTATGTATTAAGATTAATTTGTGTTGTTTTGTTTCATAAGAATTGTTTGGCTTTATTAATAAAAAAACGTATTTATTTTCTGTCTATGATCGTCACTTCCCACGAAAATGAATGGAAGTTTACAAGAATTATTTTCTACTTTGCAGCCAATGACGGCTCGCAGAAATATAACACAAAATAATAGCCTAGCACCTTAAATGGATCATTTCTAAATAATTCTTGTTTTTTTCATACCGAAGGAATATAATTCTGTTTGTGTAAGATCATGTTTGTAAGGTCTCATGGGAAGTGTGAAAATATTCAATTCCTCATCTCTAATACTCTATTTTGCTAAGGTATCAAATTTATGAATTTATTATTTTAAAAGTAAGAAAAAAAAAATCAAATTACAAGATATTTCTCTTCTTTTGCTTTGAAAAACAATTTTGTTCCTCTCTTGCCACATATAATAGATGCAACATGTTAAGGTCATTCTATAAACGGAAAAGGGCCAAAAATATCCCTATACTATTTGAAAAGGTTTAAAAATACCCCACAATCAACCCTTTTGGTCCAATATTACCCTTTAAATTAACAACCTTATATTTTTTAATTATTATATTTAATAATTATTCCGTGGTGTCTTTCTATTGGATAAACTTAAATTTCAATCTACCAAATTTTCTCCTACCCACCCGACCCATATTGACATTTCTTGACCCAGACCCAATTAAAAAATCCATCACAAATAAAAAAGATATCATTTCTTCTCCTTCTAAACCAATTAACATGAATTTCACAGATTAACAAACACCAACAACGGAATGTATGTTCATGAAACAAAAAAGATTAAATTTTGAACAACCACATTAACAATCTAAATCCATAAACTACAGAATCAGTTAAACAGAAGCTCACGATGAAGGATTCAATCAAGTTTTCGGCTTTCGGCGACAAAGAAGATGCTCAGATTTAAGCTTATTTAGAGCAGAAATTAACAATGACCCATGTAAATAAATTCATCGATAACAAACAATTAACACGAATTTCATCAGATTAACAAGCACCAACAAAGAAATGTATGTTCATGAAACAAAAAAGATTAAATCTTTAAACAACCACATTGACAAACCTAATCGATAAACCATAGAATCAAGAAAAGAGAAGCTTATGATGAAGAATTAAGAGATAAAGGAAAAGTTGCCACATAGAAATTAGGTTCAGGGGAGAAGAGATTCAATTTTTTTTTTATTTTAGATGGATCTTTTAATTGGGTTTGGGTCAAGGAATGTCAACATGGATTAAGTGGGTAGGAGAAAGTTTGGTGGGTTGGAAATTAACTTTATCCGATAGAAAGACGTCATGTAATAATTATTAAATGTATTAATTAAAAAATAGAAGGTTGTTAATTTAAAGGGTAATATTGGATTAAAAAGATTGACTGAGGAGTATTTTTAACCCAATAGGTGAATGATAGATATTTTAAAACCTTTTCGAATAGTGCATGGATATTTTTGGCCCTTTTCCGTTCTATAACTTGTTGATGCAGCACTATTCCCACTGCCAATGTAAGTTCTTCTTCCCATGCTTTTGCTAGTCGTCTCTGTCCTAGCCATTGTAGTAGTTTGTTCCACACTGATGCTGAAACAGAGCACTGAAAGAAAAGGTGTGAGATCGACTCATTCTCTGATTTACACAAAGGGCATATATACCGGATTAACACCTTATTCCCCAGTGAATCATCTTATCCTTCGTGTACAACCTTCCATGAGCAACCAACATCATAATGAACAACCATTTCGAGGCATAAGGGGTATTGCAAACTAATTTCTTCCATCTTACTTTTGGAAACACCCCTTGCACCAATTGGTACATCTTTTTTACAGAGAAATAGTGCAATCTTTGGAATTGATCTTTTGTGTAACCAGCAGCTTCCACATACTCCGTAGCTTTGAAAATTTTCTTGATAAGCCAAGATGCTTGTTTTGTATTGGCCTCTCATAAAGTTCCGCCCTTTACATAATACATGTGAACCCAAAGAATTTCCTCCTTATATTAAATGAGTTGCGGAAGTTAGTGGCGGAGCCACCTTATAGTTGGGGGTTCGTCCGAACCCCTTTTAACGGAAAATTATATTATTTATACATGATTAAAATATATTTTTAAGTTATATATAGTAGATGTCAAATCCCCTTCGACTACTTCATATATCTATTTCTTCAAATTTTTAACTCTCTTACTGAAAATTCTAACTTCGCCACTGACGAAAGTTATGTAGCAAAGGCTTTTCTATGACAAAGTTGTGGAAGTTATGCATCAAAGGCTTTTCTATGACAGTAGTGTGGTACAAAGTAATATTATAACTTTGACCACTAAGCTACTACTTTCTATTGTGTTTAAGGATATTCAAATGTTATATATATATATATAGGGGCGGAGCTACGTGGAATCGAGGGATCCGAACCCCCTCGCGGAAAAATTACACTATATATGTAAGGTCAAATTCTGATTTTATGGGTATATTAATTAAAATGAACCCCCTCAACACTAAAGAGAAGGATATTGTAATTGTCAAGGGGTTCAAGTTCCACCTAGAAGGGCTGAGTTCGAATCTCATCAGGCGCATTAGTGTTTTTCATCTTTTTTTTATGCTTTAAAAGGGCTGAGAAGTTTTGGGCCCAGATTCCCAAATCAATGAAAAGGCCTCATTGGTTCAATGTGAAGTTTTATCCTTTTTATCTTTCATTATTTCCTTTTTATGCTATTTTTTTTTTTCAATTTGTCTTTGTTTAAATTTATTAGCCACATTCTTTGTATATTTTTCTTTTAGATTCTTCTTATTTATATTTTTCATTTTGTTTCTACATAGTTCTCTTTATGTGTACTAAGTTGAAGAAACGATAAATTTTTATTAAATTTTAAATTGAGTTAGAAAAAAATATTAATATATAATAAAGTAAATTAAATTTAACCGAACGAAGAAATATTAAAATTGTGAATAGTTTTTTAAACAAAATCTATTTAATTTAATTTTCTTTCTTTAATTTCATTGTATTGTTTTCAACTTTATTCTAAGGTGATGAAAATTAAACTAATCTTATTTGATTTATTGATCATTTGTTTTTTGACAAATGACTAACCTAGTAAATTGAATTAATTGAACTAAAAAAAGATGATGCCATTTATTTATTTTCTAAATATGTCAATTTTTACCCCTTTAAAAAATCTTGGTGATTTTTATAGTAACATATGATTGAAAGGGCACTAATTCAGAATTTTTTTAATAAAAAAAATCAAAATAAAATAAAACATGACAAAACTTAAAGAAAAAAATAGCACAAGAATTTGAAAAAAAAAAAACTCAATGGAGCAGGGTAAAAAGTAAGAAGAACCTAAACGCGGCATAACAAGACAAGTTAAATTTAGCGAGTTAAGATTAATATTTTTCTTTCCCATCTCACGTATTTATTACTTTATACTTCGAACCCCCTTAGCGAACATCCTGGCTCCGCCACTGTATATATATAATATAATGTAATTTTATGGTGAAAGTCGAATTGTACTTTTGCTCCTATTAAGAGGGTGTAAAAAGGGTTTCACTGAAAATTTTCAAATTAAAATAAATGGAAAAGGATTAAAATTAGGGAAAATTGTATGAAATAGCAAATTATTAATTCAAATTAAATGTTATAGTTATAGTTTATTTTATTTGTAATTCGCAACAAACATCTCATTTTTTTGCCATTTGATTCGGTATACAATTGGTCATTTTCGGTATACAATTACCCATTCGTTATACAAATGTATAAAATGCATTTGTGTTTGTATAAAGCGAGAGAAAAGCGTGTATACAAATACATATATTTTCGTCCTATACACTTATAATTATACAAATATAGATCTTATTATACAAATTACAATGTATAAATGAATTTATACAAAACTGAACAATTTGTATAAAATTGGATGTATCTAGCGAATTATACAAATCAAAAGCTCCATAGCAAACATAAAATTTGTTATGGAGCGCAATTATGCAAACTATAGCTATAATATACAAATATGATTTTTATGTTTACTGTATGTGAAAGTTGCTCAAAAATTTTCCTTCGACTATGTGAAATAGACTATTTATACTCTTTGGGATAAAAAAAAATTCCCTTGCCGTTACTTAAGAGACACAATAAATACCCTCAAGAGTTAACACCCCAAATTTTTAGTGATGTGGCAAGCTATGTAGGACTAGACCTTTACTGGCGACAAAAGCCGTAACAAAAGCCCAGAATATACATCATTGTACATTTTATGCATTTACATATGACATAAAAATAAAATATATAGCATCTCCAAACTCCTCCTTGGTCGATATCATTTGTGATTTTTTAAAAACAATGAAGAAAATCAGTCAAAACCTTTAGTGGAATATTTTGGAATTTTGTGGCGACTTTTGTCGCCGCTAAAGGTCTAGTTCTTTTGTAGTGAATTTTAGTTAGCAACGCTTAGGTGGAGGGATTAGTCTTATGTGACTTTCCACGTCGCTAAAATTTTAGATAGTTTAACTCTTGAGGGTATTTGTGGTCTCTTGAAATAATGACAAGTTATTTTTTATCCCAAAATATAATAAAAGATACTATAAATAATTTATTTCGTATAGTTTAAGAGTATTTTTAACCCTTTTCCGTAAAATAAATAAGCCCCATCTTGGGCTCCTCTTTATTTTTTCCACGTTTCCAAAGCTCTCATAAACTACTTTCAACATCTATCATTGTTTATTTTTCATCCAAAATCTTAACGTTGCCCAAAAGATTCCCTAACCAACTGTTGGATAGAAAGCGTTGAAAATTAATGTGTAGCCATATCCTCAGCCAACTGTTAGAGATCAGAAAATATTATTTATTTATTCATTCATTTTATAATATCTTTAAAAAAAATTAAATCTGGTTAATGACAGTAAGACTGGATCTATATTCGATCTTCAAAATATCTATTGAGAATAATCAAATATACCATAACACCACTCTCATATTTTACAAAATTTCTCTCTACCATGGACTCCGATAATAATGATCAAGTGGTTAATGAAGTGAAAGACTACTATCGACTCTACAAAAATGGCCGTGTTGAGCGTTTCTACGAGGTGCACGGTTCCTTCTACGTTCCACCATCGCCACAAATCCCATCAAGCGGCGTATTCTCCAGAGACGTCACTATCTCACCCCACGTCTCTGCTAGACTCTACCTCCCGGAGAACATTCCCAATTCCCAAAAAATCCCCGTGTTAGTATATTACCACGGGGGCGGACTTGTCTTACAATCCGCCTTCTTCAACCAGATCCATGCTTACGTCAACTCTTTAGCTTCTGAATTAAACGTCGTTGCTGTTTCTGTAGAGTACCGGTTAGCCCCAGAAGTCGATGTGCCTACAATTTACGAAGATTGTTGGACTGCACTTCAATGGGTCGCTTCACATGCTAATGAAAATTCGTACAATAAAGACTCATGGTTAACGAATTTTTGTGATTTTAGTAAAGTGTTTATAGCCGGAGACAGTGCTGGTGGCAATTTAGTGTACCACATGACTATGAGGGCTGGCAAAGAAAACTTGAATAATGATATGAAAATTACTGGATCGATTTTTGCTTATCCTTATTTTTTGTTCCCAAATGTTGAAATTGATGAAGAAGGTTTGGCTAATAAGATTTGGGGTTATATTTGTCCAGTACCATTAGAGTCTGGGCTATTATCCCCAATTGATAGTCCATTAATTAACCCACTTTCTGAAAAGGCTCAGTCTCTATCGGAGCTAGGTTGTTCAAGGATTTTGGTGTGTATGGGAAAAAAAGATGATATAATTCCTTTAGAGATTGGGGTTCGATTTGTTGAAGGTGTGAAGGAGAGTGGATGGGAAGGAGAAGTGGTGTATCTTGAAGTTGATGGTGGACATTCGTTTCAGATGCATCAACCTGAATATGATGAAGCTAAACGTATGATGAAGTGTTATGCTGATTTCATCCATCGCTAGTGCAGGTAACAATGAAATAACTAACTTTGTGTGTTGTTTTTTCAGAGTAATTGTTTGGTGGATTTATTTATAAAATGTATTTTCTGGTTATGATCTCTCTCCCCACGAATTGAATGGAAGTTTACATGAACTTTGTTTGTATGAGATCGAGTCTATAAGGTCTGATGGTCATCGATGGAAGATGAGCATGTGTTAAAATATTCAATTCCTCATTTGTCATATTCTATTTTGCTAAGGTATCTGCGACTTGATTGAATTTTCTATAACACTAGAGTTCATAAATTCCATCCAAAAGTTCTATATATATATATATACACTTGGATTTAAGATTAGAATTTGCCTTGATTCTAAATCAGGAGAGCTTTATGAATTAAATTTTCATGAAAATGCCCAAATGATTTTAAAAACATTTCGAAGCTGCAAAGTTGTCTTCTTATTGCCACAAACAAAACATGATTTATTTTTCAATTCAAGACAAAAAAGCAATTGCGAAAATCTAAAAAGTTGATTTGAAGGAAAAAAAAAAAATACAAATCGAACCCCAATTTCTAAAGGAATAATATCATCCTTCCTTTCCACACACACCAAAATCCTCGAACAACCTAGCCCCGATAAAGACGAAGCCTTTTCAGAAAGGGATAATAACCCAGACTCTAGTACTGGTGTACAGATATAGCCCCAGATCTTATTAGCCAACCCTATTTATCAATTTCTATATTTGGGAACAAGAAATAAGGATAAGCTAAAAAGATCCACTAATTTTCATGCCATTATTCTAGATTAATTTTTTTCGAATAAAATTTTTAATTATATAAAAGTACTATATAGTTAATAATTCTTAAAAATTATTTGAGGAAAATATTGTTTAAAAAATCTTTCACTTTTAAATAGTGATGTTGCCACGAAAATGATAGTTAAGCTATGAGTAACGTCAAACTTTAAAAAAATAAATTTAAAAAAGACTTTTGACAGAAAAGACAAATCACCAGAAGAAAGTAAAGAGAGTTCATTAAGTTTAGCCCACTAAATAATTCAAGCCCAAATCACCAGAAAATAATAGGAACTTGTTATTATATTAAGAAAAATGATAATGTTATATTAAGGAAATAATATTTTGTTTTTTTTATACTTGGACACTCGTAATATATTTATGATACGATTTTAACACATACTACAAAGAACCGTTTATAAAACACATATAATACAAGTTTTATTGATAGATAATACATTTATCAAACATTTTAATAAACTTATAATATAGTGTCAATTTATTGCCAAATAAGCATGATATACTTTAGAACATTTATAATACATTTATATTACAAGCATAATCACTTTTAATACATCAAGCAGATTTATCATAATAATGCTCTGTAATTCTATAAATAATAATAAATCTAAAATATCACTAAAATTAGTAATTATTTATTAAAAAATAATTAGTTAAGTAATTTTTCCGAAAATATTTCTGTACATACATATATGTATACTTAGGTGTTAGAGCATGTATAGGTGTAGAAATTCAATTATACATCTTCATTTGCACACCTATGGTTATTTTGTCTTATTTCATTTTGTGATACATATTTTCTTATTCTGGTGACTCTTCTTCAGCTGAAATGAGTAAAGAATGTTGGAATAGCAACTTGCTCAAATGGCTTAAAAGATGAATAATATAAAAACCTCTCGTGGCCACAAACATAGACTTGTATTGGGGTATGCATCATGGCTTCTAGAAATTAGCATTTTTAGTATCATTGGACTTTTCGTCTGCTCATTCAGACACTCTTTTTCTTGATTCTAATTTTTTTCAAAGAATAAAGTAACTTTCTCAAATGATAATTAGTGGAACTCTACCAGACGTATTTGATTTCAGTTAAGAAATTTGGAGGCTATTCTATCTTAAACCTTAGTTTATGCCTATATATAAGATATTATATTCCCTTAAGAAACATCTCAAAAATTCCATAAATTTATGAAATATTCAAAAAAAAGATCAAAATTTAGCCTCCTATGGTCGAGAAATATGAATCACAGTTAAATTACGAACTAAAGGATAAACAAATTGTACTCGCACTATTTATAAATAAAATATTATTGTTTCTTCTTATTTATAATCATTAAGTCTTGGACGGTTAAAGTCGAATCTTGATTATTGGTTCAACCGGTTCTTTAACCATCACTTAAACAAATAAAACAAGACAACCAACTTCCATTATATAAACATGCACTATGATTCCAATGTCTACATCCAAATCAACTTCTTAATTAACCATCCACCTTGCATGTAATACTCCATTTCTTCAAATTAATTCCATATTTTAAAAGTCTACATAATTTCTCCATACATATATGGCTTCATCACATGAATGATTTGGTGGCTGATGTTTATCCATTCTTTCGAATCTATAAAGACGGTCAAGTTGAACGTTTTGATGATATAAGTGCTAGCATAGGCTTTTCCTTCGTACCACCATCACTTGATGATCCAGAAACTAGTGTCTCCTCTAAAGATGTCACAATTTCACCATATGTTTCTGCTAGACTCTACCTTCCTAAAAACACCACCAATATTACTCAAAAATTTCCCATCTTAGTGTATTACCATGGTGGTGGATTTGTCGTGGGGTCCACTTTCTCGGATGTCCATCATCGTTACCTCAACATATTAGCTTCAGAGTCAAACACAATTGCAATTTCGATAGAGTACAGGCTAGCCCCAGAGCATGACGTACTAACGATTTATGAAGATTGTTGGACTGCACTTCAATGGATCGTGTCACATGTTGATGATGAAACTTCGAGCAACAAAGACCTATGGTTAACAAACTATGGTGATTTTGATAAATTGTTTATAGTTGGAGACAGTGCTGGTGGTAATATAGTTTACTATATGGCTATGAGAGCGGGAATAGAAGGTGGTATTAATGAAAATGTCAATATTTATGGTTCGATTCTTGCTTTTCCTTACTTGTTGATGCCAATTGAGAATATTGAGCAAGTGTTTTCGTATAAGATTTGGAAGGCTATTGTACCTATATCAGAAGCTGATATTAATAGCTCGATGATTAATCCATTTGTTGAGAAGGCTCCTTGTGTGTCTGGGCTAGGTTGTTCAAGATTATTGATGTGTAACGCGGAGAAAGATGAGTATATTCCAAGAGAAATTGGGATTCGATTTGTTGAGGGCGTGAAGAATAGTGGTTGGAAAGGGGATTTAGAGTTCATTGAAATTGAAGATGTAGGTCATTGCTTTCAGTTGGCTGATTTTGAAATTGAGAAATCTCGAGATTTGATTAAGCGTTTTGCTTCTTTCATTTCAACATAAGTGATAGCATATTTGGTCATGCTATGTTAGAGCTATAGCTCGTACTACAAATAAGTAATAATCCTTACTGTTGCTTCGAAATTCTCTTGAATTATCTTGTTTCTATTGAGTGCATTTACAAATTGTTTCCTCCCTATGACATGTAGCTACGAATTATAATTATCAAACTATAGCTATAAAGAGTAATTAGACTATTTTTAAATGGCTATATGTGAAAGTTCCTCTATTTAAATTTCGTGTCACACTACACATTAAAGTATTTGACTCTTATATTACTGAAATATTTGGCTTTATCGATATATTATTTTGAATCATTTATTTGGTCGATAAAAGTAGTGAGGATCGACAAACAAAAACGACAAATCAACTACGTACCTAACTTGATTTGACGAATATCTTTAAATGGTTTCAATTATTAAATCATGTGTTGTATAAAATAATACTTAACTGGATCACATTATCCTTATTCAAAATATAAAAAGGATAGTACAGTACTATATTTAAAATATTTGCCATCAAACAAATGAGCAATCATGCTCATTTTTTTAATCATTTACATTGAGTCTTTGTACCCCAATACTAGCTAGCTCTAATTATTTATAGTTGGGTCCATGTTGTTTTCTCTTTACTGTTAAAAATTAACTACGACAAAAAGGATAGTAGTATTATTTTTAAAAAAAAAAAAAAAACTCAGTGCTTTGGTAATTAGTTCAATGCAACGTAATTTATACTGAAATTTTCTGTTAGAGTTCCATGAATTAATAAAGAAAGGTGATTATATGAACATATTTTTGAATATACACATTATCAGGGCCGGCTCTATGTATTACTATATATTAGAAGAGTCTAGGATTTACTACCATTGTTCCAATTAAATCATTACAAATGTCCAATACTTACTATATAAAATATATAAGTGGGGCCCACCTCCTTCCACTTAAATAATATTTTTCAACCTTATCATGGTAAAAGTTGAATTTATTATCCTTTTCATTTAATTTTATATGATATTATTTTTTCTATAAAATCATTATATATGTTTTAATAATTTAAATTTCAAAAACATTATAATTTAACTTTAAAGATTTTATTTTATCAAAATCTTGTACATTGAAATATATAGTTATGAATTTAATTTTTTTTTAAAATCATATAAAAATTTCAATAACTTCTCAAATTCCATAATATAACACTTAAATACTACATATTATATATTAATTACTATACTATAAATGACTTAAATACTCCATATTATCTATTACAATAATTAACAATTATTTGACACTTTAAATTCTATCAATGCCATATAAATTAGAATAAAAAACCTAACATATAATATTTAAATATAGTTAAAAATAATATAAGTAATACTATACATTACAATAATTAACAGCTTAATTATTTAAAACTTATATAAAAAATTTAATTGAGTCTTTAAATTCTATTGGTACCACATAAAATAGATTATATAATAAACATATATTGTTTGAAATTGACGAAAAAAGAACAATAAATTACAATAATTAATAAAAAAAATAGTCCACTCCAAAAAATCTATCAATTAACAACATATATTGTTTGAAATTGACGAAAAAGAAACTATAAATTACAATAATTAACAAAATAAATCTCTCAACTCCAACAAATCTATCAATTAATGCCACATAAATTGGGGCATGGCAAATAACATATAGTATTAAAAAATTAGGTTCAAAATGTACTAAAAAATACAATAATTAACAACTTAATATATTAAAGAGACATAAAAAAGGGTTAATATTTAAAATTCTGCATGTGCCACATAAATTAGAACAAATAGAGTAATAAATATTACTTTCAAAATTATGTTAAAAAAAAGTACTACAAATCACAATAGCTAACAATTTAAAATATTTTTAAAATCATATAAAAATTTCAATAACTTCTCAAATTCCATAATATGACATAAATTTAAAAAAAAAAGTGTTATAAATCATAATAAATAGTACAATATTTAAACTACTTTAAAAGCATTATAAATTGTAATAAATAATACAACAATTTAAATTACTTAAAATTAACGACTTAAAAATATTTTTTTAAATGTATTAAAATTTTGGTTAATTGTCAAAACTTTACATGTGCCACATAAATTGGGACATGGACAGTCACACATATTTTTTTAAAAAAATTACATTAAAAGTATTCTATCAATTAACAACATATATTGTTTGAAATTGACGAAAAAGAAACTATAAATTACAATAATTAACAAAATAAATCTCTCAACTCCAACAAATCTATCAATTAATGCCACATAAATTGGGACATGGCAAATAACAGATATTATTAAAAAATTAGGTTCAAAATGTACTATAAAATACAATAATTAACAACTTAATATATTAAAGAGACATATAAAAAATGGTTAATATTTAAAATTCTGCATGTGCCACATAAATTAGAACAAATCGAGTAATAAATATTACTTTCAAAATTATGTTAAAAAAAAGTACTACAAATCACAATAGCTAAAAATTTAAAATATTTTTAAATCATATAAAAATTTCAATAACTTCTCAAATTCCATAATATGACATAAATTTAAAAAAAAAGTGTTATAAATCATAATAAATAGTACAATATTTAAACTACTTTAAAAGCATTATAAATTGTAATAAATAATACAACAATTTAAATTACTTAAAATTTAACGACTTAAAAATATTTTTTTAAATGTATTAAAATTTTGGTTAATTGTCAAAACTTTACATGTGCCACATAAATTGGGACATCGACAGTCACACATATTTTTCAAAAAAATTACATTAAAAGTATTCTATCAATTAACAACATATATTGTTTGAAATTGACGAAAAAGAAACTATAAATTACAATAATTAACAAAATAAATCTCTCGACTCCAACAAATCTATCAATTAATGCCACATAAATTGGGACATGGCAAATAACAGATATTATTAAAAAATTAGGTTCAAAATGGACTATAAAATACAATAATTAACAACTTAATATATTAAAGAGACATATAAAAAATGGTTAATATTTGAAATTCTGCATGTGCCACATAAATTAGAACAAATAGAGTAATAAATATTATTTTAAAAATTATGTAAAAAAAAAGTACTACAAATCACAATAGCTAACAATTTAAAATATTTTTAAAACCATATAAAAATTTCAATAACTTCTCAAATTTCATAATATAACACTTAAATACTACATATTATATATTAATTATACTATACTATAAATGACTTAAATACTCCATATTATCTATTACAATAATTAACAATTATTTGACACTTTAAATTCTATCAATGCCATATAAATTAGGATAAAAAACCTAACATATAATATTTAAATATATTTAAAAATACTATAAGTAATACTATACATTACAATAATTAACAACTTAATTATTTAAAACTTATATACAAAATTTAATTGACTCTCTAAATTCTATTGGTACCACATAAAATGGATTATATGATAAACATATATTGTTTGAAATTGACGAAAAAGAAACAATAAATTACAATAATTAATAAAAAAAATAGTCGACGAAATTGACGAAAAACAAATTATAAATTACAATAATTAACAAAATAAATCTCTCGACTCCAACAAATCTATCAATTAATGCCACATAAATTGGGACATGGCAAATAACATATATTCTTAAAAAATTAGGTTCAAAATGTACTATAAAATACAATAATTAACAACTTAATATATTAAAGAGACATATAAAAAAGGGTTAATATTTGAAATTCTTCATCTGCCACATAAATTAAAACAAATAGATTAATAAATATTATTTTCAAAATTATGTTAAAAAAAGTACTACAAATCACAATAGCTAACAATTTAAAATATTTTTAAAATCATATAAAAATTTCAATAACTTCTCAAATTCCATAATATGACATAATTTTTTTAAAAAAAGTGTTATAAATCATAATAAATTGTACAATATTTTAACTACTTTAAAAGCATTATAAATTGTAATAAATAATACAACAATTTAAATTACTTATTACTTAAAATTTAACGACTTAAAAATATTTTTTTAAATGTATTAAAATTTTGGTTAATTGTCAAAACTTTACATGTGCCACATAAATTGAGACATGGAGAGTCACACATATTTTTTTAAAAAAATTACATTAAAAGTATTCTATCAATTAACAACATATATTGTTTGAAATTGACGGAAAAAAAAATATAAATTACAATAATTAACAAAATAAATCTCTCAACTCCAACAAATCTATCAATTAATGCCACATAAATTGGGACATGGCAAATAACATATATTATTAAAAAATTAGGTTCAAAATGTACAATAAAATACAATAATTAACAACTTAATATATTAAAGAGACATATAAAAAATGCTTAATATTTAAAATTCTGCGTGTGCCACATAAATTAGAACAAACAGAGTAATAAATATTTTTTTCAAAATTATGTTAAAAAAAAAGCACTACAAATCACAGTAGCTAAAAATTTAAAATATTTTTAAAATCATATAAAAATTTCAATAACTTCTCAAATTCCATAATATGACATAAATTAAAATTAATATATATATATATATATATTGGGCCCCGTGCTGGCACGGAGTCCTATATCTAGTACTTTAATAAGGCATTAGCCTTAGGCCCCCAATTTTAGGGGGCCTCAATTTTTTATCAAAAATAAATTATGTGTTAATTTTTATAGAAAATTATTGATTATTTATGATAAAAAGTATATATTTAAAATTATTATTTTATTCTCTTCAACCCCATTCAAATAGAAGAAATCAAGAAAATATTATTTTATTTCTTACACTCTCTTCTTTAAATTGTTGATAAGTTAGAGTAATATTCTGTCAAAAATATCAATTAATAGTCGAAAAGTGTTGAACAAATTAAATTGTAATTTTTTTTTCCATTTCTTCTTAGATTTTCAAGCATTACAATAACCATAGTAAAATGTGGGGTAACCAAATT